CACACTGTAAGGTTCCTGTGAGGAAGATGAGTCTGAATATTGGACGTTCTACATGGTACCTGTGAGGAAAATAAGTCTATGGATTGGACATTCTGCATGGTACCTACGAGGAAAATAAGTCTATGGATTGGACATTGTGCATGGTACCTACGAGGAAAATAAGTCTATGGATTGGACATTGTGCATGGTACCTGTGAGGAAAATAAGTCTATGGATTGGACATTCTGCATGATACCTGTGAGGAAAATAAGTCTATGGATTGGACATTGTGCATGGTACCTACAAGGAAAATAAGTCTATGGATTGGACATTCTGCATGGTACCTGTGAGGAAAATAAATCTATGGATTGGACATTCTGCATGGTACCTACGAGGGAGATGAGTCTATAGATTGAACATTCTGCATGGTACTTAGGAGGAAGATGATTCTATGGATTGAACATTCTGCATGGTACCTACGAGGAAGATGAGTGAAGACATCTACACAAATTATGCTGTTCCTTTTAGAGGTATGATGACTACCAATGTTCAGTTTCCTCACATGAAGCTTATTCAGTCATTAAGATATTAAAGAAAAAGTATGTTTTGGTACTGGTTTATCTCAATTCTAGTGTTAATATAAAGCCAAAAAGAAGGATCTGTATATTCACAGTTAATAATGGGTTGATATTCAGTGGGAACTGGTATAGCGTATGATACTTCAAATACACTGCTGAGTATTGTTGTATATGTCATAAATTTAAAAAGTTGTTCTTGAGTTCTTGGAGAATTTTATTCCTTTATGTTCATTGCGAACATTATAAAGGTAAACTGAAGCTGTTAATAAAACTCTGGGATGTTTGTAAAAATGTTATTATTCTGAGACGACAACTCGCCTCCACACAAAGAAAAGCTGTCTTCCTTTTGTGCCTACCTATGAGATTTGTATACCACTAGACGTGGTGCAACTTTTACATGGGATCATTGTAGCCATTGTTCAGTGTGTTGTGGATTACCACATGCTTACAGAGCCTCCTACTCCCGTCCTATTGCTGAACTCTTTCTCCTCTGTCGGGAATGACCTATTAGACTACGACTTTAACATGTTTTGCTTTGGGTAGTACCTTAACCTTCCAATATATTTCTGGATTTCATTCTCAGGTATGTTCCTTTCCTTGTCTTTTACTTGTGTCCTTTCGTATTTCTTGTTGTTGTCTTTTACTCCATGCTCCACAAATTTTGGGTTTACTTTGTTTTTCCTCCTTGCTGGTTATTAGGGTTTATACTGTTTCCTTTCTCTGATCATTCTCACTCACACCCAAATGCATCGTCCTACTTCCATTTTTGGCTCTTTTTGTCATGACTCGTAGATTTTCTTTGTCTGCATTCCCTGTCCTTGGTATATGTTTGGTCAGCTTGGAGATTGGTTCCCCTTGCCTTTTATTTTGCTCTCTGGTTCCCCATTTTAGCATTTTCTTTTTTCACTACTCTCCTGTAATCCCCTTCCTTTTATCTGAGGCAATTTATTATGCTTCAAATTGGTTTTCTGTAGATATTCATTCCCTTCTCTTTGCCAGCTAAGTCTGTTCTACTTCTGCTCTATCTCTCCTTATTTTCTTTCGTAAAGTTTAGACTCGGAGCAGGTTATGCTCCTCTACTGTACTTCTTCCTTCTTCTTGTATATATAGTATTTGTCAGGCTCCCTTTCTTTGCCTGGATATCTTTAGGGGTGTTCCTTTCTCCCTATGACCTGGACTGAGGTTATATGATTTCAGTCCTCGTTATCTTCCCATGTTTTTCTTCTTACTCGACCTTGCCCTTTAACCCTGCTCTCCTCGTCTGGATCAGTCTGCCTCTACCCTTCCTATTCTAAGTTCCAGGCCTTCCCCCTTTTTTCTAACCTTGCCTCTACCAGAAGTCTAGTTCATTACTCTTTTTGTCAGTGACTGTTGAACATGTAAAACCCTGTGGGTACCCATCTCTTCTCCTACTGTTGACTCATTTTCTACTAACAGTCGTTTTTCATTTCTATACTTTGATCTCTCTCATTGCTTCTCTTCTTATTTCACTTTATCCTCCCTCCAACCCTGTCTATAATCTCTTTCACCCAGTGTGTAGTTGGCCATGACTGATGTGTCAGACACCTTTCTATAAATAACTTTTACCCTGTCCTCTGTATGTTTTCTATATTCCATCCACCAATTTCACGTCATCTCATTTCTTGCCCTTCCATTCAACAGTGTCAGTCCCTTTTATATTCATTGGTATCGTGATGGACTTCATTAGCCATATTCATGACTCTGGACTGGCATTCCTTTTTCTTGGGCGATTGACTTAAGTTGGCTCATTTTCTGTTGGTTTACTCTCCTCACACACACTCAATATTTGGTACTTTGGGCATTTTCTTCATCTTGTCTTTGCCATGTTCAGCCCTCTCCTCATCACCTGTGAGCTATGGTATCTCTGGTCACAAGATATTGTGCTTCTTATTCTCTTGCATGAAAGGCTCTTTCACTGTTGTGGACTCTAGCTTCCCTGGAACCCTTCATTCCTTTGGAGCATGCACACCTATGCTTCATTCAGTGGACATTGTGGATCTGTGGGTTTCTTTCTTGGGTTCCATTGTTTTCTTTTGTGATCCTCTTTTTGAGGAATCGTTATGGTGACTAGACCATGTCCATACTACTTCTGGCATTCCTTTTCTGACTTTCATGCTGGAACTAACTCTTCACCAATACTCCCCTCTCCAGACAAGGCATGGCTTCTGTCATTTGGATGCAAGACATTCACTCCACATCAATGTTCTTGATCATCTTGCTGTTCATCAGCCATGTTCCCATTCTTACCCCTACTGGTAAATCACTTAGCCATTTTCCACTCAGTCACTTCCATGGTTGTTTCTTGTCTGAGAGGCACCCATTCCAGGATCCTTTGCTTTCCAGCATTGGATATATTCTTCTGGGACCATTCCCATTGCGTTTGTCTTGTTTCTTGTCATTTGCAAGAAGCAAAGAATTTGATGGTGTACCATATTTCTCAGCCAGTTAACATTCTACCAGTGAAGTGGTCCTATACCCCCAGGTCTTTTGTTGTGTTTGCTCTTGGTTGGGCATGCCCCTCATAAATGCTTTTGTCACCTTCTCAACTTCAGGCTTTCTCTGTTCTCGTTTTCTGTTCCTCATTCTTCACAACTAGGCCTGGTCTCACCTCCTTCTATATGCCTCTTCCATTAGATCCTCAGACCCCTTCATCTTCCCAATATCCTCTCTCTCTTGCTTCACCCTAACATATCTCTTTCATCTGGGGATGTACTCTTTCCATTTTCATGCATTGGATTTGCTCAACCTGTTACTCATCAAGCCAGACTTTCCGATTGTGTGGCTTTCTTCTTGTTACATTCCTGTCCCCCTTTTACCATGTTTATCTATCAATAACAGTGGCAGGTCATTTGTCGTTAGTCCATCTGCCACTCCCTTTCTTTTTGTCATCATATAGTGGACTACCTTTCTGCCTTTTTACTTGGCTGTTCATCCATGATTTGTCAGTTTCTGCTCTTACTAGTTGTTGAGCAGTTTTGTACACAGCATTTCACCTTTTCTGGTACAACAAGATGTTTCTTCCCTAGTTCTCTCCACTTTTTCTACTCCTTCAACCTCTTCCCATCCTCCTCATCTGACTCCCATGCCTGACTGAGACCTTAGTGGGGGTTTCAGATGATCTCACACATGCTCCATTGGAGCTATAAGCTTCTTGCTTTTTGTATCATCTTCTCTTCAAACTTATTTCTTCCTTCTTCTTACCTGTGATTACAGATGTCTATGCTATGGATGCTTCTTGTACCCTTTTCTACTGCACGTATATACTCCTCTCCTGGCGTGATCTTTCCTTCCTCAGACTTATTTCTTCCTTCTTCTCACCTGTGATTACAGATGTCTGTACTATGAATGCTTTTTGTACCCTTTTCCACTGCATGTATTATACTCCTCTCCTGGAGTGATCTTTCCTTCCTCAGATTTTGACTGCTCCGGAAGTAACCATACTTTCTCTCCGATCTTCCTTCCTTTTACCTCTCATCTCTTTGATCATTCAGATCCAGTTTGGCTCTTCTATCATGTTTGAGCTGTTCAATGTTCCTTATCATGAACCCTTCCCTTTTATGGTTCCCTCTATCATGTGCTCTTACCCTGGGACCCTTTCTTCTTTCAGGGAATTCTCTCCTTCTTCCTTTTACCCTTACTGATTGGGTCTATCAACTCCTCCAGTTGGTATGTTTGTCTCTGTATGTGAGTACTTGCAGGCTAATTCACATTTCTTTGCATTAGATTCATCATCTTTCTCATTCTTTTGCATCTAATCTTCATTGGCCCTAGGACAACATTCTCCAGGTAGGTATGAAGATGATTATCCACATATTCTCCTCTCGAACGTGTACTTGAATGTAAGTATTGGTGGGATTAGCAAGTTTTTATAAACATGTACATGAATGTAAGTATTGGTGGGATTAGCAAGTTTTTATAAACATGTACATGAATGTAAGTATTGGTGGGATTAGCAAGTTTTTATAAACATGTACATGAATGTAAGTATTAGTGGGATTGGTAAGTTTTTATAAACATGTACATGAATGTAAGTATTTGTGGGATTGTCAGGTTTTTATGAACATGTACTGGAATGTAAATATTACTGTGATTACCAAGTTTTATGTACATGTACATAAGTATTAGTGGGATTGGTAAGTTTTTATAAACTTGTACTTGAATGTAAGTTTTATGAAACACAGAGATTGATGTTGACTGGTATGGACCTGAATTATCTATAAAACATATTTTTTACTTCTTTCGTTTCACTAGTATGTAAAAAGTTGAAATATAGTTTTGGTTATCGTAAATGTAAACAGCAGTTTAGAGTTATATTGTAATTAAGTCTGTTATTTTATCTTTTCAAATCAAATTTTCATAATGTATGTCAAGATATAAAGTACAAAAGAAGTAAAACAAGTTTCTCTACTCAGGTCTCCAGGGATATGAAGATGTCAAGTTTTTTCCTAGAAACAGGTGAAAATGGTCAACACAGCCTGCATATAGGCCACAGAACAATACACCCAACAGAGGAAACATAATCAGGTCTTTCATTTTATATACATGTAAGTGTGACGTTTAGATCGATTTCCTTAAACCAAACCATCACTTTAGTTACAGGTTGTCAGTTTATCTCAGTCATGAGTGCTTATCCAGTGGAGAGCTCCTTGCAGAATGGTACATATCCTTGGGTCACACCAAGTTCTCTTGGCCAGAAAAGCTGGCCCCCTGGTTATCAAGCCAGTTTGACAGATCTATTCCTGAAGAAGAATCCACTTCACTTTGGGACAGGAATATCCCAACTAGCAGCTGCATCCAGCTACATCGAGAAGATGTCTTCCCTAAATGATCATGTTCAGAAATGTCCACATCCTGATGCTAAAGACAAACCACATCCATGTGAAGTCTGCCAACAGTACTTCTCTTTATACAATAGTTTGAAATCAGATGGAGCATGTAGCAGTACCAGTAATTATAGCTTAGGAGGAGCATCTAACACTAACAGACCAGTGAGTGCACCTCCTGAAAGAAAACAGCTCCAGCCACCCTTACAACCACCAATATCAGGATCTATAGATCCGAACAATTTATCCAAGGAAGAACAACTTCTCCCACAACCCCCGTCATTACCAAGTAGAGAGCAAAATGATCCCCCATACCACGAAGAAAACCAGTCTATTCGAAGGTCACATCCTGCTCCTACTAAGAATTTTATGTGTCCTGTTTGTTATAAATATTTTACTCAGAAAGGTAATCTCAAGACTCACATGATGATCCATACTGGTGAAAAACCATTTTCCTGTCAAGTGTGTGGGAAGAGTTTTACACAAAAAGGAAATGTGGACACTCACATGAAGATACACACTGGAGAAAAAGAGTTTGGCTGTAATACATGTGGCAAGAGGTTCACACAGAAAGGTAACCTGAAGACCCATATTCGAAGTGTCCATGCAAAAGAAAAACCCTTTGCGTGTGGAGTTTGTGGAAAATGCTTTTCACAGAAAGGCAACATGCAAACACACATGAGGACACACAACAAGGATGACCGCTTTCCCTGTAGCCTCTGTGGAAAGACCTTCTCACAGAAAGGAAACCTTAAAACTCACATGCATAGACACACTGGTCAAGTGCCATCTCGTCGCTATGGATCCCAAGGAGGGTCACATTCTTGTGAAACTACCCCTAACCGTTCATATGATTTATCAGGAACTACTCCATTTGTTCCTTATAATTTCCACAAATCTTCAACTGCTTCAAAAGTGTCTTCAGAATCTCCTCTTCCTCCATCAACATCTAATCAACCTATGGAATCTAATGGCCAAACTTTAAGAAATATCCAGAGTCCTCCACATTCCCAGGTTATAAAACCTATTCCTGAATCTCATCCACACATGAGAACATCTCCTTTATCCCAGATATCTTCAGGAGCCCAGAGTTCATCTCTTCCTCAGTTTTTCCACAGAGCACCTCCTCCTATTGAAGCTCATTCAAATATGGATCAAAAGTTGCCTACTATGCCTCAACACCAAGAGTTTTCAAGTCCCTCTCCCCCTGATATCATGAACCATCCTCCTGACCACCTTCCCAAACCATCAACACATTCCCACCAGCCCTTATCCACACATTTTCAGGGAAGTATGATCCCTTCTGTAATGCATAGTCCTCCACCACATCCTCATGTGTCTCGGATCAACAGTCCTCCTCCCCATACCCAATTTGGACAACTAGCCATTTCTGAGAGTGAAGGACGACCTTTTTATTCTGCTCCGCCCACGCCTGTACCGGCATCATTTGCTCACTCCCCTCGTTGGTTGCCCCATGGATATCAAAGACATTACAACAACTTCCAACCTCCTTCCTCATATGGCCCTATTACTCAGCATCCAACCCCGTTATCCAGATTAGCTCTCTTGAGTTCCAATTCTATGGCTCATCACAGTTCATCTCCAGTAGACAAGCAGCATTTTGGAGCCAATTCTGCTCATAATCAACACCAGGAACCACCCTATCACCAATCAGAAAGTCCAGATTTTTCACAGTTGTTGGGCTAGGAACAAGTCTACTTCAACGAGTTATTCAGTGATTTTTCAAGGAAATTCTGATAATGGTAAAAGATAAAGATTGGGTTTTGAATTGATTTTACATTTAAATATTTTTCTTCCTAATTCATGACTAAGAAAGAATAGACTTAAAACATGTGAAAAGATTTATGAAATTTTTCTAAATCAGCTGGAAGAAGAGATGAATGAAAAGAGAATTAACCAGTGCTCATTTGAAATGGATTACTAAATATCTTGGAATGTTTTCTGAAACTAGTCTCTGAATAGTTTTATGCTCACCACCTATGTTATATCAAGTACGTAAGCATTTATAGATATATATATATATACATAAATATATATTGATTAAAAACTTCTGCTCACTCCTTACCTTGTGATTAGATTCTAAATCTGTCTTTCTCTACATAAGCACTTCTAGTGTCTCCGATGTCTTACTGTATTGTTTATTAGTCTCATATTTTGTCTTTAAGAAATTGTTTACAACATGTGGACCCAAGTTAGGTTTAATGGGTAGTTGTTATGGTTATAACTCTTGTTACTGTCCAGTGTCGTCCATAATGTATTCAGGTGCCACTCAGACTTCAGATCTGAAGAAAGAGGCTGCAGTATCGTACCTTGATACAAAAAAAAAGGTGCTTTGGTAAGGACTGTGATAATTTTAGGCTTAAAGTGTGGTTATCATATTTAATGATTTAATTGTTAAGAAGCACAGTGTGAAGAATTCAGAAGTTGAATACACGTTTTTGTTAAAAATGATGTGTCACATCAGCATACACCGTTGGTAAGAAAATTGGTAAATGATGTGTCACATCATCAAACACCACTCTGAATGTATTTTTGATAGTGATTCAGTGATGTGCAAAAAATATTTGTAATAATTGTTGAAAGTGTTTGAGTTAATAATATATTGTTGTTGATAGCACTGACCAAGTATTACTTTCACAAAGGTATATTAATGTGTCACGTGATCACATTGAACGACATTTGATAGCTTTGTGTCATGGGATGTAATTAAAGCTTAAGGTTAATATACCATGTCACGTTCTAGTGTGTTTTAAACAGGGGTTAAAACGTAATAACTTAGGGCATGTAAAAATATAGGAAAATGGGCATTTTTTCAATCTTTCCTCTTGTGATTTCATGGCCCTCTTCTTACTAGTCACTCTCTTGGCTATGGTACAACATTTTTTGATTAGCACAAAGTTTGTCTAGAGAATGAGTATATTTCCTGACATTGTTGAATAGATTTATGACAGACAAACCAAGCTTAGTATTTTTAACCCCTGTTTAACTTTTATAAAAGTTGTTCTTTTCATTTGAAGTTGATTATTCCAATGATGCTCTGTTTTGCCATGAAGTAAAATCTTGATGTATTCTTCATAATTCTGTTAAGTGTTTCCAGATGATAAACCACATTTAGGGTAATGGGAGTCACTAATCAAAGTTTTTTGCTATTGGCTGTTTTTGTGTCTATTAACTGGGCATAACAATTGTACTGTTACCTGTGGTGCTGCTTGAAAGACTGAGTGTTATACATTTAGTCATTAATGTTTTGTTATATATATAAATTGGGATAGATCTATTATGATAATTTAGTGTCAAAGATTATTGCATTATAGCCCAAGGCATGAGTATTAGTATCTCCTCGTTCCTTG